CAAAATAAACTCCTGCAACATTTATCACTTACAAAAACTAAAACCATCGTGGCTCTAATCAAAATGTCTTTGTAGGTCTCTTTTATTTGATAAAGTGCATGTGTCTTAGAGCTATACAGAAGAGGGAACCCTCTGTGCCTTATAGGCCTGCAGATTTAGATTTTTGGGAAGCAAAAATTACATATCTGTAATTTTTGGTTCATTTATTATTTAATAGAGTCATCATGCTTGTCATGTTTTAAACTCTGTAGGTATTGTAGTAATACATGTATCATCGTTATTCATTTTAGTTGGAAACAAAGGGGTTAAAATCTTGAAACACTTCACAGAAAATTGTCCAGGATTGTTCTCTCTGTGGTATCTAGGTAGATACAGACCAAGCAAGCTCTCCCATTGGTTCCTACTTCAGGAGCTGCACTGACGGCTTCACAGATTAGATTCACTACCAACAGAATTAGGAAGTGACAGAGGAACCAACCAATCACACTTTGATTTACAACTGGACCGATTTAGAGAGAAAAAAGTCACTCAAGTCCTGCTGGATGTTCCAGATATGTCACTGGCTTTATATACAAACCGTAGTCAAAGCAGGTTCGGGTTATTTGTTAGGAATGTTAAACAGTGGTGGCAGCTCTATGACAGAACTCTATACTGAAAGAGTCACTGTAACACTGAAACACACAAACTCAACTATATGATAATAATGTCTGTTACAAGCTTCAAAACTCTCTATTCAATCTACAATGGGCAAATTCAGGTGCACAAGTTAGCCTAGTGCTAACATACTATTGGATATCCCATAGGGCCACTAGCAGAAATTAGCATTATTGTGAAAGTGATTTTTTGTTTCTCACTTTTTTGACCAAGCGTTGATATTTATGGCCCAGTGCTTTTCATAAAATGCTGGTGTTGAATCAGATCTTTTATTAGACTATTTCCAGAATACTGATTTGTAGTGATGGTGTTTTTTGCTAATTGTACTTTAGAATTCCTATATACAACTTATATTAATGTTCATAGTTGTTTTATGGCAATATGTGTGGAGTATATTGTATGTTCATGTTTATATGATGTTTTCTGATAAGATGGTGTATTACATGTATATTGCCCCTTGTGGAAGGGAGGTAGAATTGCTACAAAAGCATATAAGAAAGACAACAATGACCTGATGAAGCCAACGGACAAAACGCTATCAGGTCTTTTGTGAGCTTGCCAGTTAGTTTGTTTGTTAAATATGGAAAGTAGAGTGTGGGTTACTCGATTCTTGAAATTTCACTTGAAGCCAATACACTCAATGCACTAGAGATGTCTATTTTAACATTTGTGCAACCCAGCAGTGGGTTTCCTTTTATGGCCTGAACTGAAGGCCTAGCTCAGGGTCGCAACCCAAATGTTAAGAAGAGCCATTTTGTAGTTTCAGCAAAAATCAAACCACCTGGAGAGCCACAGTATTTAATGTCCATTTTGCCATCTTGGCTGTAAATATGTCTCAGTATTTGCTAACAAATTTAATATAAAGGAAATTGCAGACATACTTTGCTCTGCTTTAAGCTTTCAGCTTTAGCTCAGCTATAGCTGCTTTTCTCACATCTCCAGCAGGAAACTTTTCCTCAAAAGTAGAATAGTTTCTTGTAAAATATCTCTCACTGTTCAATATTTGCAAGGGTGAAGTTGCTTCTCATTCGCCAGCTTCTCGTTCGAATTCTCCACAGCAGGCACCATTTAAGGTGGAATGGGAAAATTTAAAAGAGAAGCTTATAAATGCATCTAAGTCCATTTGTCTCCAAATTATCAATGTTTGTCTTAAATCTTTGAATCTTTGAAAGAATTGTTGTCTGCATTGCTATGGTGACCAGCAGTGCGCAGATATTCAAGGTTAAAGGGTGAATTAGCAGTTCTACATTAACTCCAGAGTTTAAGACCATTTATTGTTAAACTGTGTTGAAAGATCGGCAGAGCTTTATTTTACTGTAAAGGAGGATTATTTTATTATTACCTACAAATCTAATTCAGCTGTGGAGCCACAACAGGACAGTAAAAGAGCCGCATGCTGCTCCGGAGCCACATGTTGCCGACCCCTGGCCAAGCTCTAATAATCACATTTCACAGCTGCTGTACAGTAATTTTGTTTTATCATGAATATTCAATGAAGTTCTTTCTCCAATTCTTTGCTCTACAGGTTGGTGGTTTGACGCATGCGGCCTCTCCAACCTGAACGGCATGTACTATACTTTGGGTCAAAACATCCGGAAGCTCAATGGCATCAAGTGGCACCACTTCCGCGGCCCCAGCTACTCCCTAAAATCCACAGCCATGATGATCCGGCCAGCTGATTTCTGATGCAGCGAACTTCCTGCAGTCGAAGCAAAATCTCAAGCCAGCATTGTATGGACAACCCTGCACCGGTCTGACTGGGATAAACATTTGAGGTCTTTTGACAACAAACAGTCTGTTAGTTTACTGGATGACTGATCGTCTCTAAAGCAGAAAGCTGCAGAAAGCGTAGTTATCAGGCTGATATTACAAACATATCTCTGTATTTTTTTCTCTCTCTCTCTCTGTCTCTCTGTCTCTGTCTCTCTGTCTCTCTCTCTCTCTCTCTCTGTCTCTCTCTCTCTCTCTCTGTCTCTCTCTCTCTCTCTCTCTGTCTCTGTCTCTGTCTCTGTCTCTGTCTCTCTCTCTCTCTCTCTCCTGGCTGATGATCTCACCCAAAATGTGCTGTCAGCTGATCTTTCCACTGCTGCCTTATAGTGCTGATGAGGTCAGGAACTGTCATTGTTATGACAACGTCAAAAAAAACTTCAGTGAAAGTCTGAACTCTTTTGAGCCATGGAGAAGATGCTCATGAAGCCACGTGTACCTAAGGACTATGGGGGAGAACAGAGCTTACTGTATTCATGTCACTACAGACAATCTAGAACCTGTTAGGGCTGCTTTATGTACAGACGCTCTGAGGAAGGTCTGGTGGATCTTTACATGTATGATGTTTCATCACATTTGCTGAAGATAGTGAAAGTACGTGGTGCTTTCTTTAACCAGTGCTCATATGAACTGGATGGATGAATGCTCCACATCTCTTTCTGATATAATCATGCTTAAAGAGTTGGTCTATTTCAGTGGTTGTGTATTTGTTTGTGAAAAAAAATGATGTCTTGGAAAGTGAAATCATCTTAGATCTAGTTGAAATAACTGATTTATCATTTTTGAGATTGTTGTAAAGATATTATATCATTATTTCTCATGTCTATGCATTTCAGACGAGCTTTTATTCGGTTAATTTCAAAATGTCAAAATGGCCATTAAGTACAGGTCATTCATATTTCATCATCAGAAAAAAAAAAACTAAAAAACATTTTTTTTTACACAAAGGTCAAAGAAATTCAAAGAATCTGCAGACACACCTCCAACGTTCGGTCTTAGAAGCTGGTTGATGATTTTCTGAAGTAATCAAACACATTCAGTGGTGTTGAGGTCTGGACTCTGGGGTGGTCAGTCCATCGTTCAGCTTCTTTGTTTGATGTGTCCGTCTCCTTTTCTCAGTGAGGTTCTTCTTGATCAGCTACACATCCTTTCAGACCCACAGCGCTGAGTCGTCTTCTCACAGTGGAAGGATGGACAGAAACACCTGTGGATGTTTTCAGATCTGAAGCAGCTTGATTTTCTCCTCTCTCTCAGAGATGAAAGCTTTAAGTGCTGTTTATCTGATGGGGGCAGTTTTGGTGTCGACCAGCTCTTCCAGGTGGTTGTTAGGAGCCACATTTTCTCTGCAGCTTTTAATCGTGTTTTTTGAAACTTCTGCCAATCAGTAAGACAAAATTCTAGACAAAATGGCTTAAAATAAGTTAGAAAGCATCTAGAAAAAAGTTGAACAATCTTAGAATAATATTTTTACAGCAATCTCTTGATGGAAAATGATGATGTATTTACTAGATCAAGATGTCAAGAAATCATTTTTTGCAGTGTGTCTGTGTTTGTGAATGTGAGAGAAATTGTCTAAGTTTTTGTTGTCGTTTGTTCATCATTCTGTGTAAATTTGATCTTTTAATGGTTCTTTTCCAGCCTTAATAGCACAGTACAAATACCAAAACCTGACATTTTGTGAAAATGCACTTTAAATGGTACTCACACTTCCTAATGCTGTCTTAACCGGTGATCCATGGTGTCTTAGTAACTAGAGATGGCACTGATTCGATACCTGGTATCAGCACTGGGCTGATAGCAACTGAAAATGTTAGGTTTTCATGTTGGCATGAAAAAAAAATAATAAATGTGATCCAGTTCTGTAACAAATCAGTCCTGAAATAGCACACAAAAGTTTGGAATCACTTGTCGTATGAAACATTTTTGTTCTTTTCTATACAGAAATATGTTAGTTAAATATGTTACATATAGTTTATATTACAAAATACTACAAATACTTTTATGTAGGATGTTTTGTTCACAAATTGAAGAACTATGTGAAAAAGAAGTGGATAAAATGATAAGCAATATACCGTAATTATCTATTCATGCTGATTTTTGTCATGTGCTTTGAGATTTGATTTTGAAATAGGAAATTTGATTCATAGATCTTCATTCTCGATGTTCAACAGATCCTTTACAGCTTCCAGGTGTCCTTCTGATTATCTGAAACCTGTGAAGTTGTTGAGGACGGGCATACATTAATACACTGCAAAAAATGGTAGTGTCAAGTAAAGTTATCTTAAATATAGTTAGTAAATGTAACATTTTTCTCCTGTTAAGATTGCTGTAGGCTTATTTTAAGATTATTTCACTTTTTCAAACATTTTTGGCAGATAATTTTGCTTTTTCTCCTGTTAAGATTGCTGTAAACTTAATTAAAGATTGTTTAACTTTATTTCCAAACATTTTTTTACTTGTTTTAAGTGATTTTTATTAAGTAAAATTCTGTCTTGGCAGATAAATTTGATTGTTTTAAGAAATGTGCTTGAAACCAGAAAAATTATCTGCCAGAGAGATCATAGTGAGATCATTTTACTTAATAAAATTGCCTAAAACAAGTAAATAACATCTAGAAATAACCTAGATAAACTTATAAGTTTACAGTGAACTCAGAATGAGAAATATTAGATCTATCAACTATATTTCAGATGATTTCACTCGACAAGACACCATTTTTTGCAGTGTATATTGATCCGCAACTTGTTTGTTTGTTTGTTTGTTTGTTTGTTTGTTTTTGCGATATTAAAAACAGTGACTCCAAACTTTTGAACGCTGTAGAATAGTATAGAACAGTACTATCCTGTGGAATAGTAAAGCGGTTCAGCATCATAGACTAATTTAAGATGCTAAAGCTAAAGAAAAAATGTTGAATCAGTTTCAGAAAAAAAGTGGTATCTTGCCATCTGTAGTAGTTACAGTTGTTACAGTTGAGTTTTGCCCAACTTTCTGTCAAATTTTAACAACAATGGAAGACGTAATTCATATTTTCTCACCGCTTATTTTCTAAAGGCTCATTTGGAGACACCAAAGCCTTTCAGATCTCAGCTCTCCAACCTCCCTCGTCCACAGTAAAACCTTCTGAACATGCCAAGGAAAGCAGAAGGCCACAGAACGCACTCTCTCCTCCATAAAAAAAAACTCATTATTCATGTCAAATATTGATTTTGCTTTTGTTTCTAAATGGCTGACCTTTGCGTATGGCCCCAGACCAAGAAGACCGGGTCTGTGTAACACAGTAAAACATATCTTTTATATATAAACCTGTCTTTTGTGTCGTCGCTTTGGTCTGTTGCACATGGCTGTACATTGTAAGTGTTTAATAGTGTATCTGTTTTCTCTCCAGTTGAGGCTCTTAAATGCCCATCAACATCACACTTTTAAGTGCGGTTGCCACTTGTGACTAACGGCCCTCATGATCTAACATCAAGTCTTTGTTATCACTAAAGGGAAATGCAGTAAATCACATCCCGCGTTTAGATCCCATCTCGGCGGAACTTGCGTCATACGGGATCCTGTAATAAACCCGAGTAAACTTGGACGCTACCAGAGCCACGTACCGCTTGATGTGTTCCAACATGTGTGTTGATTAGAGAGACAACCCTCATATGGAAGCACTTGTGACCCAGCGATTGCATCTGTCCAAAGTCATATTCGCCGCTGATTTGCAGCTTTTTGCATTACATGTTAGATAATATAACAAAAGAGCATTGACAAAGAATGCGTCATTTTATAAACATTAGCGTCATGATCAAACAGCTTGTCTCATTAAAAGGCAATCTGGCACTTGGGCAGCGTTATCGACACTGACTGAACTCCAGTTACTGGATTAGTGCGCTGATAGAATGATTTAAACTGTGTGTGGGTGTCTGTGTGGCTGTGAAGTTGTACTGGGTTCATTTCGAGCACGTTCTGCACTCAGTGATTCAGGTTTACGGTGACTGTGCTGTTAAAAGAGCTTAAAATGAGCGTTTAATGTTATTTGTCATGTTGTATTCAGCAGCTCAGCTCCGTATCTCTGGAGGCCCGAGCACATCAAAACATCATCATTCTTATGTTTGCAGTTTGAAGTCTAACCAGAATTAATGATGAGAGAACATTCTAGATTCTGCCAATAAACAAACACAGGCATGGCACTCCAACAAAGGCATTTCTGTTCGTGTTTGTTGGTGTTTTGTTTTGGTCCGTGCGCTTTGGCTCTGGTTTTGTATTGTCATGTTTTCATCCATCAGTGGCCCTTGTTTCTTAAAATTGTTCTTCGCACTTAAAGATGGTTTGCATCATCAGAGAGTTCTTCAGATTGATGGAGAATGTGCTGTAGATGGTTCTATACAAAACCTTTTTGAAAAGCGTTCTTCTATTGTCAAGCCTATAACAATAGAGGAACCCTTTTTGGTGCTATAGAACCCTTTTCAAAAAGGTTCTACATACAAACCATACAAAACACATTCTCCATCAATCTGAAGAACCATTTAATGATGCAAAGAGTTCTTTGAGTGGCCATGGTTCTACATAGAACCATTTTCTTTACTGAAGAACCCTTAAAAACCATAATTTTTAAGAATGTTGAGAGGTCCTAAGAAAAAGTCTACGTCAGATTCATGACGTGTTCTTAAAGCGCAGAACTGTTCTCACCTTTGTGCTCTTGAGTGTGTGTAGATTCTGTTCTTACCTAAGAACGAATCCCACATAAGAAAACACTGGTGAATCAGAATCTTCATAAAAACTGCGTAAGTAGGTTTGAAGAAGAAATTTCTTCTTAAGAACGGTTGGTGAACGAGACCCAGTGTTACTTTAGTACAAAGCCCAGAAATGCATTATACAGCTTAATGCTGCTTTTGAGTGGTCATGGTTTTGAATTAAAAACACTTATAAAACGAGTGGCTCTGGTCCTAAAATCTGATTGGCTAAGCCACGTTTTGAACCTGTTATAAATACTCAATATATACACAGCTATGACCGAATTCTGTATTACAGAAGTCACTAATAAAATCATTGTAGACTGTAATGCTGCCCGCATGGACCAGTGAGTATACTGAT